GGTGGCTGACAATATATAATTCATGATATATGTGTGTGTGTGTAATTCATGACAATATATAATTCATGACAATATATTTTTTACTATAAAATACAAAAGCACCTGTGTATAATTCATGATATTCCTCTATGTGTGTGTGTGTGTGATTCATTCAAGATACTATTTACATTTGTCATCTATTTTTTTGATTAAAAAATGTAGAATTCATATTGATTGGGCATCTAGAGCTTTAAGTTCGAACGAGAGCCTCGATATATAAAGCTCGCTCAACCCTCCCCATAGGCCCATTGGCATTGGAAACTTATTTATAACATCGTCATGTAAAAGTTTACAACGACAAAAAGAAGTGAAGGAGGTGAATGGGCAGCTGCTCTCTGTTAGTTTCCCACAAAACGTTGTACAGTTACACTATCTTAAAATTTCATTTCGTCATATTTAAATTTTCTGGGAGGAAAAGATACCCGGGGGAAATCAGCACCAAGCATGAATGAATCATGATGGTTAAACTACATCAAGTTTAATCAAGTTAATTTACAATTGGTTTAAGAATGAATGAATGCCCAGGTGGACGTTAGATTTATTATCCTTAGTTAGTGTACTTGGTGAGACCACGACTCATTGTTCGCTCAGTACATGATTTGTGAGCCCATAAGATGACCAAGTTAGGATGGAATTAAATATATATTACGACGAGAAGGAATGACTCAAATTACACACACAAAATGGAAGCATATATGCAAGGGCTACTTTGTGTTTGTAGTGACGTCAATTAATTAACTTAGTAGTATTTGGCGAGCAACGAAGCAAAATTATTGTCTTATTTAGATTTTAATTTCTAACATACAACTTCTTACTATATTAGAAACAAAAACCACACTTAAGAGAAAGCACCACTATTTGCCATGTGACATTTCCACATCATATTTTTAAAATACATCTTTATTTTCACATCTCCTAGACTTAAAAGGTAAATGCAGTCCAAATTCACCTCCACCTCCTATTTTTGCCAAAACAAAAAAAAAAGACGGGTTCATAAAAAACCCAAATCCTCATCCCCATCTCCACGATAATCGACTCCCTAATCAATCCCTTCTCCACAATAAAAAAAAAACAAATTCCTCATCAATCATCAATTGAGAATATGTGGTGAAATATACTCATTTCCTATTAGCATGTTCAATCTTTTTATTAGTGATAATCAACTACATCCTGATCAGATAAAATTTCCATTTCAAAAATATTCTCTTTACCTTTCTATATAAACAAAAAGGAAAAAAAAAATTCTCATTGATCTTGCTTCGGCCGTTGTGGTGGTGCAATTACAGGTATTAAAATTTAAATGATTTCATTTCCACAGATCATTTGTTTGGCTTTTATTATTTTTTATTTTTTCCGTTCAAGAATAGTGTTATTACTATTATTTTTATGCGGCCATCCGTTACAGCTACCATAGCCGTTGTCAGGTAATATGATGTGATTTCTTATATAGTTGGTTAGCCTATAAGTTTTGTATGATTTTAGTCCTGTTTGGATTGAATTGATTAATTGAGTTTTTGTTACAAAGTGTGGTTTTTTAAATTTCTTTTTAATGTTTCATTCAATTAGAGTGGTTTTCTTTTTTTAATTATGGAGTCTCAGTTTTTTTTTCGTATATGGTCAGTTTCGAAAAGTGTTTTTTCTTTGTTTAATTGTTTTTTATTTTATTTCATACTCCCAGTTGACCAATTATTATTATTATTATTTTATTTTATTTGCAAATAAAGCGCGTTTTTTTTTTTTTGTGTTCGGACTTTCAAGAATATACTTTTTGAATTTTGGTTTTTGGACTTTATTTAGTTTCTCATCATCTAAATAGTTCATGTAGCTTCTTCTAACTAATTTCTGGGGAAGCCTTTTATGAATTTGAAGCGGAGAAGGAAAGAATGATGTTTCTACGTTTATTTGTATTTTATACAACATGTTTACCTACAGAAAAAAAAATAAATTTCTCAATTTTAAATGGGCTATCTTTTACTTTCTTTCTTTTTTTTTTATTTGCCATGGTGAGGTGAGTTCTTTTTTGGTATAACTTAAAACCTATGCAAATTTACATTATTTTCATTCTCATATTTGTGATCAACCAATTTCATCAATAAACCAGTTTCAAAATTATATTTTTGATATTTTACTACTTATAAACTTTTGGAAGAAATAGTTTCAACAATGAAGCGTATACTTTTTGGAGGAAGCTTACTATAAAGCTATTATAAATCTCCAAAACTAAGTATTGATTTGGCACAACTGGAGAATATCAATAAATTATCTTACTAATATTTAAACTTATTAGGATACTTTTATATTTTGTCTAGCATTTAATTCAAGACATATATTTGATCAAGTTTATTTATATTTAAGAAGTAACACTTATAAAACATTTCTAAAATCTTCAAACATTTCTAAAACGTACCGGGTCAAATACAATTTCTTTTTATGCCAAATAAAAACTTTTTTATGATCACACTTATAAAATATTTCTAAATTTTTCAAACATTTCTAAAATATATCGGGCCAAATACAAAATATTCTTTTTCCAAATACAAATATTTCTAAGATATACATATATATTGGGCCAGGGTCGCGCATTGCGCGACCAAACATCACTAGTAATTTAAAGAAGAGAATAAATTAGTGTTATCTTTGTGCTTAATTTTGAAGAGGTGACAAAACGTCTAATGGTTGGAAACCACCGCGCGCTGAGCTACATTGAAGGAAAAACAAAAAAAGAAGTGCTTTGGCTAGAACCTTAAAGTAATACTACATGCTACAAGTGAAAAATCTATCACTAATCACACTAGAAATCGAACAAGAACCTCACGCACAACCTGAGAAGTATAGTTTTCTAGGAAAACAAACCAAAAAACGGCAATTTATTGGGTGCATCCCCTCTTAATTTTTACCTACTAGTCTTTATTACCTTTTTTCTCTCTCTTCTAAATAACATCCTATACTTTGTAAGTTTAGTCCCTGCCACTTTTTTTTTCTCTCCTACAAAAAATATCTCTAATCTTCAAACGAGCATATTTCTCGATCCATGAAGAATTAGAAAAATTGTTAGACATGAAATTTATAGTACTCGTCAAAATCTATCTAACAACATCCATATCAAATATTTTTTTCGAGCTTAAAAATGATCAAATTTTGATGGGCAGAATTAAGATAGATATCCAGTTTGAAAAGATGGATAATCAACAAATTTTATGTTGATATTCTTGTAAAATTTATATATCTCAATCCGTAAAGAATTACAAAACAAATTATACATGAAATTTATAGTACTTGACGAGATCTATCCAATAAGATCTATGTTGAATATTTTTTTTATACTTTAAATGCATTTAAATCTTATGGACAGAAACGAAGAAATATATTTTTTTTTCCTAAAAAATGGTTATCCGCTGTGTTCATACTGATTATCCAACCGATTTGGAATGATTATCCATTTTGTTTGTACTGGTTATCCAATCATATTTTTGACATTTCTTCCTCTTCAAAAAAAAAGAAAAGTAAAAAAGAAAAAAGTTTTTTGGATAATCATTACAAATAATTTGGATAATCAGTGAAAATAAGTGGATAAGCAGTACAAACTGGTTGGATAATCAGTAAAAAAAGTGAACAATCATTTTCATAAAAGAGCGAAGAAAAAAAAGGGTTGGATAAACATCACCAAGAAGTTGGATAATCTGTATGAACACATTGGACAAATATTTTATCCAAAAAAAAAGAAAAGAAATTCTGTTCGGATAATCAGTGAAAATGATTGGATAACCAATAGAAAACGGTTGCATAGTCAGTACAAAAAATTGAAAAAGGATTTTTGCAAAGAGTAGAGAAAAAAATGGTTGGATAATTTATATCAAGCAGTTGGATAATCAATATGAACGCATCAAACAATCATTTTTTTTCAAAAAAAAAATAATAAAAAGAAAAATTAGGTTGGATAAGCAGTACTAATTATTTAGATAATCAGTGTTAACACATTGGACAATGATTTTTTCTAAAGAAAAAAGAAATATTGGATAACCATTACAAACGAAATGGATAATCAGTTCAAACCGGTCGGATAATCAGTATGAACACAATGGATAACCATTTTAAGAAAAAACTAGGTTGGGTAAGTATGCAGTACCAATTAGTTGGATAACAAGTACAAACATATCGGACAAGTATTTTCATAAAAATAATAAAGAAAAGAGCTGGAGAAACAATAGCACGGGGTTTGATAATCAGTACAAACACATTGGACAAGTATTTTTTCAAAAGAAAAAAAAAATGATTGAACAAACAATACAAACTTATTTAGACAAACAATAAAAATAATTGGATAACCAATACAAAGCGATCCAATAATCACTACAATACACTAGATAACCGTGTTTCAAAAAAAAAAGATTGGATAAGCAGTATAAAAAAAATGGATAATCAGTATTAGCGTATTGGACAATGATTTTTTCCGAACAAAAAAAAATGATTGGATAACCAGTAAAAACAATTTGGAGAAGCATATAAATCCGTTGGATAACCAAGACGCATAAGTTGGTAGGCATACAAATTATATGGATATCCATCACAAACAAGTTGGATATTCAGTACAAACAAGTTGGATATGCATACACACCCGTTGGATTACAATTACAAAACATGTTGGATAGGCATACAAACCAAATGGTTATGCAGTACAAACAAAATGGATAACCAGTTTAAACTGGTTGGATAATCAACATGAACACAATGGATAACCAATTTAAAATAAGTTGGTTATCCATCTTCTTAAATTGGATATCCTCTTTATTTCTGCCCATCAGAATTTAATTATTTTTTAGTCCAAAAAAAATACTTCATATTGATTTCGTTAGATAGATCTCGACGAGTATTATAAATTTCATATTTAATTCGTTAACAAATTCTTCACGGGTTGAGAGATATGTTCATTTAAAGATTAGAAATGTTTTTTAGAAATATGGACCAAACTTGCAAAATATAAAAATATTGAGAAAAAGTACAATAAGGATTATAAATGTAAAAAATAGAAAAGGGAGCATGGTGCTTCCGGGTATACTGGATACGAACTCTTCAAAAACTATCATAAAAAGCGTCATTAGAAACTAAAAATTTTTCAAGAGCAACGACATTGATGGAACTCCGTAAGTAGAAACTTTTTTTTTTTCCAGCCTAAATATCGCTTTTCCTAAGTATGGTAATGAAAATTTTCCTATGCAGCAATTCCTCCATTGGACTGTCTATTTGCAATAGTACTGTAACTTCCCACAATGCCTTCAAAGTCTTGAGGGCTAGAGTTTCCGACACCATAACCAAAAAAACCAGTACCGCCAACCTGATGATCAGAAGCTGCAAATTGCCAATCTGGATCACCAAAAGCGGAGCCGCTCCGCCCGATTCCTCCTGATCCAGATCCTAGTCCATAAGTGCTTTCTCCATACACTCTTGAACCACTACCACCACTTCTTCCAGAGCCCAAGTATGAACCCAATAAAATTGTTGAATCTCCTCTACTACCACTAAAGCTGTCTGTGTTGAGCCCAAGAGGAGGAGGAGGAGTATTGTAGTTTCCACCAAAATATGGCCTCAAAACCTTTCCATTATCATTGAAGCCCAATACCTCTCGAAACCTAGGAGGACTCAACCCTGGATCCAAATTCACCCCCATTCCATAACCATCAGGATAACCAAATTGGGACAACCCTGTACGGATTCCCAGGTTATCTTCCATCCTGAACCCTGTAAGAAAATCGTCTGGTCTGTTGTAGTAACCATGGTTAGTATAACCAACAAGAGGGCTAGGAGAATAACTATTAGGACGACCCGATGGGGGCATCGGCGGCGGTGTCGGTTGTTTCGGAACAGCGCGCTGTACCTCAACCATCTTGCCATTGAGGAGGTGAAAGGTTCTGCGCAGAACCAATTCCACAGCGTCCTCTGAGTGGTAGGTTACAAACCCGAAACCCCGCGGTTTTCGGGTGTTAGGGTCACGCATCACTGCCACATCTTTAATGCCGCCGTACTGCTCGAAATACTTCTTCAACTCGCTTTCTCTCACGGTAGATTCTAAGCCTCCTACGAACACCTTTTTCGTGCGTCCAGGAATAAGACTACTACTATTTGTATTATTAGTATTTGTTATAACGGGCTGTTGTTTTTCGACTCTTGGAAAAGCTGTCTTTGCTTCAACCGTACGTCCATCGATCATGTGCTGCTTGTCCACCACTGCACTCTCGGCGGCTTCTGGATCGGCGAAAACCACGAAACCGAACCCTCTAGCGCCACCGGTCTTTGGGTTTCTCATCACCACCGCTTCCACCACTTCGCCGTACCTAGTAAAGTATTCTCTCAGCCGATCTTCATCCGTGTGCCAGGAAATCCCGCCAAGGAACAGCTTATAACCTCCCATCTTTTTTTTTTTCGTATCCAGAAAAGTGGGCAGCAAAGACGCCGATCAGATCACAGAGGAATTGGTTTGGAATTGGGGATGATCTAAAATAATAAGAGGAAAAAATGTATGTCCGACAGATGATGTCCTTTTATCTCTCTGTCCTTTTATTTTTATTTATTTATTTATTTTTAATCTCTCTTGTCTTTGCACCCTTTTCCTAGGTTATTCACTAATAATGATTTTTTTTACTATACAATATTTATAAAAAATATAAAGGGCCTCTCGTGTGACTTTGGCGTTAAGGCAAAAAAAAAAAAATCATGCTTATTACAGAACGGTATCTCCGGAATATCTTCGTGAATCTAATGTTTCCTATTAAAATCCTAATCTTGACTACTTAATTTTGGAATAATAAACACACACACATATTATATATATATATATATTTATATATATATATATATTGCTATGAGTAAACCTTTGAGTAAAAAATATTAAAACTTTTAATTTGTTACAGAGGTTTTTTTTTTTTCAACTAGTACTGCGCGACCAACTCGTAATTCACAGCGTAAATTAAATATGGTCGTAACAAAAGTTTTTAATTGTAATAAATAAACACAATTGCAATGAAATAAATATGTAGAACGAAATAAACATATGTTTATTTATTCTATGTTAGGCCAAATGAGACATTTTAGTACAATGAGAACGGTTACATTCGCAATCACACACATTATAGTTCTCTTTATTGATAGAATCTTACTTTAGTAACTGTCCTAAATACAATGGTGTATTGTGTACGTTGATTTTAGGGTGCTTGACTGGACCCGAAAAACAAAGAAAGTCGTTGTTGTAACTTGACTGGGTGAAGAGAAAAATCCTACTCTTACGATCAGAGCCTCTACGCCAGTCTGCTCCACTACGAGACTTCATGGATTTGCTTCATAAAGAAGATGCAGATGATGTCTCAGTTCATAGACACACCCCATGCAAGAATAGGATCACAACTTTACCAGAATTGCACAAAGAAGACAAGATAATTTCATTCTGCATTCAAGGACGATGGCCAATCACAACTCGCAAATTGTCATACCAACAAAAAAAAATAAATAAATAAACAGAACTGATCATTGCAACAAAATTAAAAAAGGATTAAAAAAAATCAAATTGAAGAGAACACCTGGTCGTTTATCATTAAAAAATATAACTTAAACAGCACTTTCATAAGACCCATGCACTACTAAAGGGCATCAGAACTTCCAAGATCCAGACAAGTTTTAAGATTTCAAAATTACTATTGCAAGATTACTCATAGGAATTGATAAGAAAATACGAAATTGGAGAAAATATAGAGATACAACATCAAGAGGATTAGGCTTATCTCTATCAACAGATGCACTATTCTTGAATGTTTCAAAACAAACAAAATCAGAAAAAAGAACGAACATACAACCTCCCTTTAGTTCTTCACCAAATTGACTAAAGGCATAAAAAAACTGTATCAATAATTCATTTTCACATACCGGCTATAGCCTGCATTTGAGCAGGACCAAGAATGCATTTGCACCAAGCTTTTTCCATGGCTTCTTTCTTATTACTCAGTTGTACTGATCACCATCACCTCAGCCTCAAAAGTCTTGGCAAATATGACGGAATATCCAAACATGAATTTCAGGTCTATCAAATCCAAAATGCTTCAAGGCCCTGTAAGTAGAAGATCTTATAAACTGAATATCACTATACTTATGTCATGATTATTGTAAAAGATATATTCAAATAGAAACTCTTAAAAGATATCATATATGGTAAATCATAATACATTTACTGTAGCTTAGTACTTCATCGTAGTGTTCTCATAACTCTTGGCCGGATTGGCTTCATATGCCAACCACCGCCTCCTCGACATTGTAATCATCATCATCAGAAGTTAGAACCAATATTAGTCCAGAATGAATCTGCCTCCATCACCGAGAAATTTGTATGGGATCGTTTCAACTTCCTTAATCGTCAGTCTTCGTTTGCATTTGTAAAAGGAGATTCATTAAGATGTACAATTCTGCTTTCCATCTCCTTAAACATGTTTATCTTTGAGTAGCAATATTAGTTTCAGAAATTGCTATCGGAACAAAAGGAAGTCAACAGCAATTCCAAGTTCCAATATAGTATAACTGTATCAGACACATTCCAAGAAATTTGAATTATATAATTATCCATCCACATGTAAAAATCAGGACAGGTAATCAAAGAACATGATCCGACAAACTTACCCGCAAAATTCCCCTCATCCCTCTCAAATCAAACTACTTTGAAAATTCCCAAAACCAAACTTGCCCGCAAAATTCCCTATCATATCTGATATCAAATCCCCACCAATTATTTTGTTCGTTTTATGCTAGAGTCACGCACCTTCAGTCAGAGGCCATTCACCTATTGATGGAAGTTTCCATTTCTACCAGTGCCGATTGGAGTTCATTTTGTGGATATAATTAGTATAATCGAATCTCTTACCCTCTGGTCACATTTCTCCCACAGTTTCCGTGGATTTCAGAAAAATTTTCAAGCCGAATTAAGGACTGCTCATGGCTGGCCATCCAAACAACTTGCCAGAATTTTTTTGGTTCATTTCCAGCCCTCAGGAACACATATCGTTGCCCTTTTTCGCCTCTTTTCATTCAGAATTCGGCGCCAACTTAAGAAGGGAAAATGTAGCACGCTCTTCCAGCTTAGTCAATATAAAGAACGTCCATATCCAAGCTATAGACATCAAGTTATGGCTTCCAAAACCAAGCTGGTTGTCTCAGATATTCTGAAATCTTGCTGGACAGTTCTGACAATTGAAATTCATGTACAGTTTTGGCCATTATCTGATCTGAATTTGGAGAACCAATCTTCATGACAGTTGTAGCTCCTTATTTCAGCTTTGCAACGATATCAAGATCTCTCGTATCCGAGCTGTGTAACTCAAATTACATGCCTCCAAAGATGGGCTGTTCGTCACCTTTGACACTGGGATATTTCTCCATTTTTGCCTCATTTTGCTCAATCGCCTAGTAATTTTATGCCATTTACTTATTTTACAGCGACGTGACCTGCAATAGTACATCCAACTTTTACTTATTATAAGAACTAGGAAGCAGGGAGTCCATCTTGTCGAATATTCTACGAAAATACAACTCCAAGAGAACTGGGAGACTTAAACCAGGGAATCGTTCCCGGTCAGCAAGTTAAGTTCTTGAATGAAATAAATTTTCAAAGATAAAAGGAAGTGATGAACACTACAACTTTGATTCATGGCCTACAGAATACCAAACAAAGCAACACCATTTGTTTTGTATGACATCCTTTGCAACAAAGAATTATCAATTTTCTAAAACACCATTCAGTAACAGGTTACTTCTTAATACCAACAACTCTGCATTTCCATTTAATTTCTTGAATGCTAATCACCCTCCTCAAAGTCAACAGCTTAAACCTAAAACCTGGGCATTTTAGACATTCCAATCAAACAAATTATAACTCACCCTATAGTTCGTAAATCAACCCCAGTAAATGCCTTTAATTAACGAATCAATTCAAGGCTCTGTATTTTTTGTTGAGTTAAAGTCTTGAGAAGGCAAATTCTGAACCTTATCATTCCATCGAAATATTACTTTGGTTCACTCTTGCAAAGACTCATATAGAAACAAGTGAAAGGAATGTTTTCCTTTTAATTCTTCCCTACCATATAAGTACCCTATAACATCATCGTATAGGGACTATAGAAAAACTCCTTTAACTGCACAATTAGCAGGGGCAAAATCTCTGTTTCCGGACAAACCAAAATCATGCCGTAAAGCTAAAGAAATATCTGCCCAATAAAACAAACAGAAAAGGGGTCCAAGATACAATTCTTACAAATACAGACTTATTGATTTCCACAATTTGAAAGGTTTAGAGCATCTCCATCGCGTCCGCTAAACTGCGCGGACGTGTTAAATTTGGCAGAGCTGGTGCTACGCCCTCCTTCAAATGTGACAGAGCACTGTTCACCCGCTATGAAGCAGGCGGGTGACCCTTTTTTTTTTTTTTCCTAAAATTTGGGTTGAAAGTAGGGTTTTTCTTTGGGCTTATTTTCCATTTGAAGCATTTAGGACTTTTTATATGGGTCAACTTGGCCCTAGTTATATATTAATTAGTTTAATTATTATAATTTGATTATATATTTACTTTTAATTAATGTTAATTAGTAGAATTAAAATCCAATAATTATAATTTATCATTTTAATGAGAGAATTTACGTCTTAATAGCAAATATATGTATGTGTAATTATACGTTTTAATAGGAAACATTAATAATCATAATTATCATTTTAATGAATGAATTTAAGACTTAATAGTAAATATATATGTGTATTTTAACATGAACTAAGAAACCATTGTCGATTTATTATAAAATCATAATACACATATTATTATTAATAAAATCACATAAAATAAACTACAAACAACCAAAACAAATACATTATTTTGATTATTTATAAACTTAAATTATACAATAAGTACATCATTTAAACTCACAAAACCAAACACCAAACACACAATAACGATAAATTTGGTCGTCATTCTAGATTTCATTATAATGTTGACCGTTGGATTGATTTTTATATTATCTTTCTTATCTTCTTCTTATCTAATTTACAACCATTGGATTTTTACAATGTGTAGATATATTATAACATGGATTAAAAATACATAATCTATATTACATAAAGAAAACACTACAAACAATCAAAACAAGTACGTTGTATAACTTAAAATTACATAATAGAAATTAAAAGAAATACATCATTGAAACTCACAAATAAAAACACCACGACAATAAAAACAACAATTAGGAAACTAAGCATTAATACAAACAGCAAGTAGACGGTTTCACAAATTAATTATCATCACTACCATAATAATCATTCAAATTGCCTCCACTATATCCGATATCATTGAGAAATCCAAGTTGTCCATCGTTTGATGGTGTTCCAAACAGTCCCATGTGAGACGATGATTGTCCTTGAGATTGTTGTTCTTGTTAATCCCTTACTTGTATAATTTCGAGCTGCTTTCTTTCCCAATATCGACGA